CCCAGAAAAATATGTACAAGGTAAATTTACAATGAATATATTACTGGTAGGACTTCCAGAAGATCACATGATCTTATCATGAAGCCCTTTACAATCTATATAACGAATTAAAAGGTAGAAAATTTACAAATATTAAAAATTACATAAGCGTTAGAATATTCTTTAAATGTTAAGCAAGTTTTAACATAATATTTTATAATATGGATATATAACATTCTCAATATTGAACAATATTATAATATAAAGTATTCAGCATATATTGTTTAAATAATATTCATCACACAGTCGACAAAAATATCAAATAACTTAAAATACTAAAAATAAATAAATATATTTTGTGTTGAAAAGATTATTTCTTTTGTTTTCTTTTTAAAGGAGGAATAAGACCATTTCAAAGAAAAATCAAAGTTAGGTAAAACTATTTTATTCTAAAGAAATGGACCACGATAAGAAATACAAAACTGGTCAATTTTTGTTTTGCAAAACGGCTCTTGAATATTTTTACTATCACGAAGTTCATATTTGTTTTTTGGTTTCAAATTATAGAGATTTATAAATACACTTGGAGATAAATTTTCTTTACATTTAAACATAAAACATAAAATATTAAAAATATTTAGTTCGTATATATTTAAAGCTTTCATTTCTATAAGAAGTGGTGTTGAGCTTGAAAAACGATTTCCAAAATTAATTATGCGAGCTGCGTGTTTCTGATGCCGATAGAGAGATTTAAGTTTGGTTTTGTGAGCGCTTCCCCATATAATATTGGCATAGTTTATATGGCAATGAATAAATGAATAATATAGTTGAGTTAGTTGCTTTTTATTTAGAATATATTGAGCTTTGTATAGAACTCCAATGTTTTTAGCAACTTTCATTGAAATACTATCAATTTGCTGACTCCAAGATAAGTTTTCATCTATTATGACTCCTAAAAATTTTGTAAATTTTTCTCTTTTTATGATTGTATTGTCAATGAATAGGTCAGGTAAGATATTTTGGATTCTCTTTTTTTTAGAGGTTGGGTGAAAAAGTATAAACTTTGTTTTATCCGTATTCAAGGACAATTTATTTTTTCTAAACCAATATGATATTCTTTCTAAATCATTATTCATATTATTAAAAAGTATTTCTATGTTTTCGTGCGACTGAAATAAATTTGTATCATCTGCAAAATTTACGGTCGTTAGGGTAGAAGCTTTGTAAAGATCATTTATGTATAATAGAAATAATAGTGGTCCAAGTATGGACCCTTGGGGGACACCGCACGTTATATTTTTTATTATTTGCGATGAAGATTCTTTGTTATAAACAAATTGTTTGCGGTTACTTAGATAGCTTTTGAACCAATTTAGGGTTTTATCTTTTATAACATAGCTCTCTAGCTTTTTTATTAAAATATGATGATTAACAGTATCAAAAACTTTTGACAAGTCAATGAATATGCCTAGTGTGAATTTAGAATTCTTAAATGAATCGGCAATACTGCGTGTTACTTGGAGAATAGCGTGTTCAGTAGAACTGTTTCTCTGAAAACCAAATTGATTTTTATAAAGGAGTTTATTATCAATAAGATAAGTGTAAATTCTATTATACATTATTCTTTCTAATATTTTTGAAAAGACCGGTAGAACTGAGATAGGACGATAGTTTGTTATGTTGGTATGGTCACCTGTTTTAAAGATTGGAGTTACTTTGGCTATTTTTAAACTATTTGGAAACGATCCTTGAGTAATAGATGCTTTGAAGACTTTGAAGACGATATCTTTAATTTTATTAAAAGAGTCGATTACAATATTTCCATTTATATCATCAGGCCCTATTGCTTTATTCCTTTTTAATGATTTAAATGCAATTTCGAATTCATTATAAGTTAGATTTGAAAAATTTATAGTTGAATTTGGTGATGATATAAATTCATCAACAGAGTCGTTGTCTACATAAGGAATCTTGTTTGATAGGTTATGTCCTATTGACGAAAAAAAGTTATTGAATTCGGCTGCGATTTCATTTGAATCGGTAATTAACTTATTTTCAAATTTAATAGCATTCGGCATCGTATTTGTATTTGTCTTATGTTTGCTAGTAATTTCTTTCATTATTTGCCACACCCGCCTTGAATTATGCTTGTGTTTTATATGCAAGTCAGAGTAGTAAATTTGTTTGGCTTTTTTTCGGAGTTTTTCAAATAGATTTTTGTAAACTGTGTAGTTATTTTTATGTTTGTCGGATTTATTTTTAAGATATTTAATATAGAGTTTTTGTTTAATTTTTAATGATTTTTTTATTCCTTTAGTTATCCAAGGACAAGATATGTCTTTGGCGTTAAGAACTATTTCTCGAATAGGAAAATTTGCTTCATATAATTTGTAAAATATATTAAAAAAAGATTTGTAGATGATATTTATATCCTCATTAAAGTTTATATAGCTCCAGTCTTGGTGTAAAAGTTGCTCTTTAAATAAATTTAAGTTATTGTTGCTATAAATTCGTTTTTTTAGTGTTATTTTACCATTCGTATTTGTTTTGTGGTCAGCGCCTAAGCAGAAAAAAATTGGAAAGTGATCCGAAACATCAGTTTTTATAATACCTTTTTTGAGTGTAATATTGAAATAGTAATTGGTAAGAACGTTGTCAATTAAGGAGGATGAAGACTTTGTTATTCTAGTAGGTTTATTTATAATGGGTATTGTTCCCGTTTCAAATAAATGATTATAAAACTTTGTTATATTTTTTTTTTTCATTATACTGGAAGCAGTCAGGGTTGAAATCCCCCAGTATATAATTTTTTTTTTTTTCTTGGCTAGTTTTTCCTATTATATTATGAACTAGATAATTGCTTAGGTACTCAGTTCTTCCGGTTGGTGGCCGATAACAGCAGCTTAGTAAAATATTTTTAGATTTTTTATTTATTATTTCAACCGTTAAATTCTCAATATTATCATCAGAAACACTCATATCGCTTCGAATATTACACGCAAGGTTTTCTTTTATGTAAAAAAGAACTCCTCCTCCACGCTTATTAACATTACGCTCTAAGAAGACTGTATTAAAACCTGTAAGATTAGCGTTTGATTTAAAATCTTCCTCTGTACACCAAGTTTCAGTTAAGCAAATAACGTTAAAAAAATTTTCCGTTTGACAAATCATATTTGAAAAGTTATCAAAATTTTTTTTTAAACTTCTGATATTAATGTGGATTATATTAAAATAATCACGATTGTCATTATTTTTAAATATGCTTTTAATTTTATCTGGATAAAAGTAAGAGCATTCGAATTTTGATCCATTAATCTCATTAAAATAATTAATATTAAAATAATTAATATCTGGATCATTAAAATAATTAATATCTGGATCAGATTCATTGTCTAAATTAAAAGTATTTGTTTAAAATAAATTTTGCATCAAATTTTGCAACTGCCACTATACAGATCAAATTTTGCAACTACCACTAAACAGATCAAATTTTGCAACTGCCACTATAGTTTAGCATTTAGTATAAAAGTATAGTTTAGAATAAAAAAATTTTGTTAGTTGGTGTTTACGGGTTCTTACTTAGATAGAATTGTATGTTAATGCGCCGTTTTGTTCCAACAACAACAAAATTTTAATTATCTTTTTGCATTTTAAAGTTTTAATTGCATTTTCTAAATCTGTTATTTATCTAAAAAGGTGGATTATGCTCAATAGGTATATATTTTGTTAAACTTTTTAGAGTTTTAAAAACATTTGCATATTTGCTTATGGAGATACAATGCCAGTGCTATAGCCCTGGGCCCCACAGTTTGGAGGCTTCTGTTGATAAGAAAAATATTTTTAAAGGAAACTCTGAAAATAAATTTTTTGATTTATTATGGAAAGAGGTCTGCTGCTTTAAAACAGCCTGTGCTCCAAAAAGTCTTGATTCACTGCTACACATTGCCTTAATATATTATATTTTATATGTAATCTAGGAATAAAAATGTACAGGGAAAAGCAGTTTGTTAATTAATGGTGTATTTTTCTGTCATACGCCTTCAATCGATCTGCATAAAAAATCGTGCACACGAATATGAAAGAACCTTGACGGGGTTCTTGTGCTTTAAACAAATACCTTCCAGACAGATACTCTTTCAACCTTTTTACTGTGAAGGTGGAGCATCAGCATATATTCTGAATTTAGTTTATACTCAATAAATAGAAATTTGACTGTACTATTTGTGTTCAAAAATGAGATAAAGGTATAATTTCATTTCAATTTAAATTTATGGATTTTTATAGAAAAAATTTTTAACATACATAATTAAAAAATATTTGACTCAGTCACAAAACTTTAGTGTGCAAAGTAAACATAAAAATAAGGTGAAGTGAGAATTTCATAAAAATAAGGTGAAGTGAGAATTTTTTCCAAAAAATGAGTAGAAAAATTCACAATTGATGAATTGGTAGGGGGTGTTTATATGGCATCTGCTAGAAGTTGTGCATGAAATGGGATTGTGAGACTAGTTGGAAGGGGGCAGGTGTTGAAATTTACACACAAAAAATTTTGCTAAAGAAGAAATAAATCCTAGATTTTCTTTTGACACCAACATTTGTATGAAAAATTATTAATATATAACATTTAAATCTGTGAAAATTGAAAACTTGTGAACACTTTAGTTCATTACTTAAATAATGGAAATTTCCAAAAAATCACGCATAGAACATTGCATCTGTTGCATTAAATGTTTTGAAAATAATACAATTTATAACCACTTTTACGAAGTATCTTTGCTCTGTAATGGTAGTTTAAACCAAAATCACGCACGGACAAAAAAATGTAACAAACGGAACATGCAAACATTAGTCATTTTTGAATTGTTTTTTTGGAAATAAATCGATTGCGACTATCATAAATATATATCTCTATCATAAACATATATATCCAACGTGTATTAAATTAATTAGTATAATTTAATACACGTTGAATTAAAAATAAAATACTTAAGTGTATTATATTAAAGGTAAATAATGTATTGTATAGTGAATAATATATTAAAGATAAGAAAGATACAATATCAAATTTTTAACAATAAGTTTAGTTGTAACACTTTGGCTCGTTAATAATATGTCCACGATTATCAAAGTATGGTTGCGGTACTAACGGTTTTAACTCACACAAGTCATGCTAGGAGAAGTCGTCTACAGATGGGTATATAAAAATGAGTTCGTTTTGTTCTTTAAGGAATTTAATATGTGCCATATCATCTATAATTTCTAATACTTTGATAAAGTATGTCTTTGCTCTACCAGCAAAACGCACTTCTGCAAAGACAAATATACCTAGAGAAATAGTATTAAATTTATACCTTTCAGATGGGGATGATACCACATTTATTAATAATGAAGATGATGAATTCTTAACAATTTTTACCATTTCTGATTGGGTACAAATTGCCATGAAAGCACCATTGATATTAAAAAGAAAAGAGTGGTGGCGACGAATCCCTTGACTTTAAATTTATCTTTAAGAAGCTTCTTATCAATTTCACTTTGGTTTGCGGTAATACACTCATTTGTAATAGAGATGATCTAAAAAAATAAAAATTTAAAAACCAAAAGTTTCATATCTATAACTTTTATTTTAAGGTTTTTTCTATAAATAAGACTTACATTAATTTTGGTATGTTTTTCACTTGCAATGCTTACAAAATCTTCTAAGCTGCAAAAATATCGTTTTCCAGATTTTGCTGTTGTCCGAACCATTCTTTTTATTTCTCCACCTATGCCATCAACTGCCTTTTTTCCGTGTGATGTTGCAAAAAATGACCAACGAATCTCAAGAAGATCAGACTATAATTTGTACAAATTATTCATGGCTGTCATGACATACGAGTTTTTGAATTGTGATGAAGTACCATCAGTGAAAAAGTGTAATTTACAAATATTATGATAACGACTTAATAATTCTTTGATAATGAACAAGACGGCATATTTATCATGAAGTAAATAATTGGATACAATGGCATAGGAATGTGTATTGTTCTTACTCCAAACTGCGGCAGTGAATACTGTTAGTTGCTGATGAACCCAGTAAGCAGATTGAATTTCACTTTGCTCTATTATGGTTTAATTTTCACTAATTTATCTAATTTTAGAAGAATTAAAAATATAAATAGAGGAATAATTAGTTTAAAAATATAACAAAAAGATTAATATAAAATTATTAAATTTTGTTATTGTACTACAAATAAAATTACAATTTTACTTACTTGTATAATCAATTCAATTTCTGGACCCAGTTCACTTTTTTTTTAGTTTTAGTTACCTCCAAGATACTTTATGATAATGAAATATTAAAAGATACAATTTATGATAATGAAATATTAAAACACATCATTTTAAATATTAAAATATTAGGAGAATCAAAAAAATAATATTATAATCACATGTAATAAAAATTTTTGTTTTTTTTTTCTTAAAAATTTTTTATTTATTGCGAACTTTGAATAATTAAAAGATAAAAAAACATTTGTCTTCTACCATTTTTTTTTTTTGGATAATCAAAATATCACTTTTCTCCTTTTGAATTTCATCTTCAAAAAATATTCGTTTTAAAATTTCATTTTTTTTGACTCACTGGAATGAAAATGCTCTAATGTAACACATTCAAATAGTCGATTGAATATACTGATAATAATTCCTAAAATACTTTTTTGTAGCTGTTTATACTTTATAATCAAAGTAATACCAGTCTTATCAATGATTAACTTCAACAATAAAAATATTTATCAAATTAATAATAAGCTAATAATATGTAACCAAGAAAAATAATTAAAATTATAACAAAATGCAAAATAAAATCCAGACAATTTAAAAATTTAATGAACACAATTTAAAAATTTAATAAACTATTCATGAATACGAAATAAAACAGAAAACAAAACAAAAATATAAAAGTAAAAATAATAATTAATACAAACAATTATGAAGATCTAATATTATTTTTAAAACTTTCAAGCATTTTTTTCTCCTCACAAAGCCTGCTTACCTCAGCTAAATAAAGTAAAATGTAATATTTAGTGTGTTTAAATGTCTTAATAACACAATAATGTAGATTAATAACACAATAATGTAGATTAATAACACAATAATGTAGATTAATAACACAATAATGTAGATTAATAACACAATAATGTAGATTAATAACACAATAATGTAGATTAATAACACAATAATGTAGATTAATAACACAATAATGTAGATTAATAACACAATAATGTAGATTAATAACACAATAATGTAGATTAATAACACAATAATGTAGATTAATAACACAATAATGTAGATTAATAACACAATAATGTAGATTAATAACACAATAATGTAGATTAATAACACAATAATGTAGATTAAACTTAAACTTACTTCATAATATGATCTGATTACATTTCTCGGTTAAACACGGACGACACTGATGTGTAGTCACACGTTGCAAATTAAGATATTTGTAAACATTTTTTCATACTGTTTTATATCTACTATTTATACCTACTAATAAATATTTTTTTTATGAAATATATATTATCAACTATAAAAATTTAAAAAATACAATTTTAATGTCAAGTGACAAATAAATAAAAAATTATATAACATTTACATTTTAACATTCAAGATGAAGATGAAGAAACATTCAAGATGAAGTCTTAAAAATAGTTTTTTTTATAATCAAACAATAAAAAAATATTTTGAAAATTAGCCAAAAAGTCACATAGAAACATCAGAGATAAACTCATACTTTTACTTCATTTATAAAAAATTCCGCGAATGGTCCTTACTATGTTAGGTCCATATTTAGTTAGATATTTTTAAGTTAATTCATTTTAGGTTTTAAGAGTTTTTGAAAATCAAAAATGTCAATTTTCACATGAAAAAATAAGATATCTCAATATATATTTATTTTATATAATATATCAAAAAGAAAGGAATTAAATCAAGTATCAACTTCAAATCATTTGAAATAACATAACTGCTTTATATGGCATAAAACTCTTGGTTTTGTTCCTTATATTATTTTCGTTAGTTTTCAAAATAGAAAAAAATTATTCACTTTCTGAGAATGGCATTGAAAGTGAAAGTGAAAGTGAAAGCTCTTTAGTAAAGAAAAGTGAAACTCTTTAAACAAAAAACGGCGTATTAAAAAAAGCTAAATATACATAATTTGCAAATACATTTCCTAAGTATCAATTCTTAAAGAAAACATAAATAAAAACTAAGATTTATAATTAATTGAAGCCATAGTACTTTCTATATATGCATAGTACTCTCTATATATGGCTGTAAAGAGGTTGTGTAACACTAATTGATGCAAAAAACTTCAAAGTGATTGCTTAACCGTACAAAAAAATATAAAAGTGTAAAATTTATGCAAGTTCGGTGTTTTTGGTCAAAAGTCAAATGTTTTTTGTGGCGCTATCAAATGTAAAACTCTGTGTATAGAATATTCTCGATAAACCCCTTATCGAGCATTTTTTTTTTTTTATAATTTTTTAAATTTTATTTAAGTTTTCCTTATTTATTTATATTTCTTTCTTTAAAATATAATTTTTAAGCAAATTTCATTTATATTTAAAAGATTTTGTATTATCTTACACGTTTTTTAAAAATGCTATGCTATGTATGGTATATATTACGGAGCTTAGTGATAAGACAACTATAGTCTTCTTTTTGTTATGTCCTGTCAAGGCTCTTTAAAATATATGCTTAATTTCTAAAAATTTTTTAAAAAATCTTGAAGTACTGAAAAAGCGGGTTAATTTGTTATATATAACAATAAATCAAAAATAATAAAAGTAACTCCAATCATTGGGTTTTATTGATTGGAGTTACTTTTGTTATTTTTAGTTAATCTGGAAAAGATCTTTGTGCAATCAAGGATATCTTAGGCGTCAAATGGACCTCCAAACGTCCAATGGATGTCTGTAAGACGTCTTTGGACGTCTGATGCCCAATGGGATGGATCCTCTAAAGATTTTATAAAGAATATTTTTTATAACATCGTCTTTTATAACGTACATCAATTAAAATATTTATTTTAATATCATCACATCCAGTTTACATAACGTAGGATCTCTTTCAAATACTTGTGTTTTAAATGATATTAACACAAGATTTGTGTTATTACGTACCCAGTTACGTAAGATCTCTTTTAAACTAATTCTATAAACTTTTTCAACCAGAAATAGTTTTTCACAGTGGCAACCGTGCTTTGTTTCTTTATCATTTTTCATCTATTAACAACTGATATTCCTGATTATGCTGGATTGCGTCTATAACGAATATTTATGAATTTTTTGGTACGATTATTTATGAATATTTATGAATATTTATAAATACGAATATTTATGAATATTTATGAATACGAATATTGATGAATATTTATGAATATTTTGGTACGAACAGTTTTTTTCTTTCTGTTTTTTATTCTAGAAATTCACCTCCATTCTTAAAAAATTTTAAGATATCATTATACCAACTTGCGACCACATCTGTGATTTTTTAAACGATTAGCAATTTTATTTGTCGTGAAATATTTTTTATAAAGACCAATGATCTTCCTGACAACCTTAAATCTAAAGTGGTCCTTTTTGCTGAAGACTCAAATTTATGCTTCTGTCTTCTTTTTTCGATTGCTTTAACCAGGCAGCCGATCTTGAATCTGATTATACATCTATGGTCATTAGTTTTTTTTTTGGCTTTCGTTAATCGAAATAATAAATTTGTTCATCGTTGTACAGTTTTAAATAATAAAAATAATAATATAAACTTACAATGACATAAAATATAACAAACATAAACAAAGTATCTGAAAGAAGATCGCAAGGATCTTGTCGTCATACCCTTAAAAAAGCATTTAACAAAGATAAGATAAAAAAAATTAATAAACTTTTACAAAATTGCAACGCAAACAATCTGTGTCTGAAGAAAGATGCAGAGGATCTTCTCATCAAATTTTTATACAAGAGTAAACCAACATATAAATAAAAAAGTAAAAAGTATAAGAATAATAAATAAAATAAGTAGAAATAAACTTCTATAAACATAAACATGTGTATAAACAATAAAAAAAAAAAAAAAGTAGACGAAAATATATTTTTAACTTTTACTACTAATAATAATTCAATATATTATCTAAAGAAAGAATGAGGTTTTTCAGTTTTTTTTTAAAAAAAAGACAAAAAGTAATACATACTTTAAAATTTAAATTTGCTAAAACAATTTTATTCCAAAGGTGAGGTGCTCGATAGGCAACACAAAATTGATTAAAGTTTGTTTGACAAATTCATTCATTTAAAAAGTTATTATTTCTCAAAATATTTTTACTGACTAGTTTAAAAGAGAAAAGATCTTTAAATACGGCCAGGGATAAGTTATTCATCCACATATACACAAAACATAAAATATTAAATACATTGTAATAATACTAATGCAATGTAAAAATACTCGTATTCAGAATCTCATTTTCAGAATTTTCAGAATCATATTCAGAATCATATTCAGAATTCTCATTTCAATAAAACAATGCTTCGAATGAGAGATTTGCAAAATTGATTATTTAAAAACTTTGGCATATAAAATTCGCCGAATGGTCACACACGAGCAGTGAACGCCTGAGGGAAGAAATGAAGTACATTTGAATAAAGAAGAATTATTTTTTAGACAAAGCATATTTTGACAGTTGTCAAGACAAAAATAAAGAATAATAGAGGAATATTTAATAATAAATTAGACAGGCAATACACCCAAAACAGTTCTCAACAATAATAACAATAAAAAAATAAAAAAATAAATAACATTTGTTTTATAAACACCAATATGAACATTTAAAAATAGTAAAAATGTAAGCGGCATATATACAACAAATACATCACCAGAAAAAAAACTTATAAAACAAAAAACCGATCACAAAATAATAAATATGCTATTAAGAATGAAAGGCCTAATAATGGAAAAAAAACATTAATGCTAATGTGTAAACATAATCTGTGTAGTGATTAAGTAATAAACATCTCCTCAGAGTCGCGTCTATTATTACTGTTCAGGCGCGAATGCAGCATTTTTTTGATGTTTGAGATACCTAACTTCCAGACATGGAACAAACTCCAAAAATTTATATGTTTATACTTCTATCAAAAAAAGTTACTTTGCAATTTTTTACAGACAAAAAAAAATCGTTTTATTTTAAAAGCGCATTATACGGATTTGTTAAGCGAATTATACGGATTGCACGTTTCTGACGGAGTAAAGACGTTGCAACTTACTTTTTTCTGTACTTCCCCAAGCAATATTAGCATAATTTAAATAACTATGCATTAATGAATAATAAAGTTGGATTAAGACTTTCTTATTTAGAT